TGATTGGGAGTGAAGATGGTCCATTATGGTCACGCAGTGTCTTCTTCACCTGATGTTGAGATTCTATAACACTGTTTATGTTCAGGAGGCGGACATCAGTGTAACTAGGCCAGTTACTACAGTTGATGCCTGTCGGGGATGCTTTTTTCTTTCTCATATTTTCTTTATTGTCTAGGAAATAAGCTTTCCAAGGGCAGGGACTTTGTCTTGTTTATGTAACCCTGACGCACCAGTGCTTAAATAGTGCCTGGATTAGAGTAGGTGCTCGATAAATGTTTGCTAAGTATTCTTTCAGAAGCTCTTCCATACCTCAGGTCCTACACATCTATAATGGAGCCCTATATATGGGACAGGTAAATTCGCATCCTTGGAACGTCTCATAGGTGATGGCAGAGCCAACAGTAGCTGCTGGTGGGCAGACAGGTGTTAACACTTACCCTTCCTTTAAACAGTGAGAGCAACCGAGTCTCCAGACGCTCCCTGAGACCAGACAGGACGTGGCTTCCTTCAGGTTTTGGGAAGACAAGTATCAGAACAAACCACTACTTGCCAAGGGCAAGAGATGGCCAAGATAAAGATTATGCCGCAAATAAAATGGGAGAAACACTCTTTGATCCACTAAATTATCTTCCTTTTCCCATTCAACATCTTATAGTCATATGCTTTTAACAAAATATATGAATGACGTACTCTGTGATTCAGTGAAACCTCCAGAAAGGTTTGCATACCAATAAAGTTGTCACCATTCCCTTATCATATTACTATTTAAAAATACTTCTGCAGCTTACTTATGTAGCTGTAAGATGCCATTTTTAAACCCATCAGATTGGCAAAAATGAGAAAGTTCAATAATACATTATTTTGGCGTTAACGGTGTGGGTTAACAGAAAAACTCATACATTGCTAGTGGAAGAATAAATTGGCACACCTTCCATTGAAGTCAACCTGACAATATCTAACAAAAATTAAAATGCACGAAGCCTTGGCTCCAACAACTTCAATTTGAACAATTTATTCTACGGATAAACTTGCATACATGCAAAGTAGCATATGTTATTTATTGCAGCACTGTTTGAATAGTAAGCAATCTAAATGTCCATCTTTCAGGGAAAGAGTAACAAATTATGACACCTGTACAATGGATTATCATGCTGTCATTAACAAGAATGAAGCAAATCTCATTCTTTATATACTTGTATGGAGAGAACACTAATGCATCGTGGGAGAGAGAAAGGCGGCTCTTGACATCAGGGAGCCGGCCTGGTACCATCAGCTAGAACATGGTGCTGCTAGAGGCTGGCCTGGCACTCACGGATAGGCCTTATATCATTTTCCCATTGAACATAAAATTCACAGAACACCAACATCAGACAAGATCTGTGATTGTGACAGATCAAGAGAAAAACAAAGATTATGTAGTAACCATGTCTCAACACAGATAAAAATATGAGCATTACTGAAATCACAAAAACAGCCAAATATCCCTCTAGCCTGGCTAATAAGAGCGATGGCTGCTTCTTCACCAACTGTAACATTAGCCATGATTCCTTCCTCCTGCCTTACTGCTAAGATTTAAGACATCCAACCACAGAACTGCCCCCAGCATCCCGAAAGCATCCAGTCCACAGCAAATCCACATTGCCTTCAAACTTTTCCCCAAAACCACCTAATCCAAACCCAAATTATAATAAATTCTTTCCAACACCCTTCAGCCAATGGGCCCTATAATTCCTCATAGTGTGTATTCTCCCTAATTGCAAAGAGCAATAAACCCAACTTATTCAAAGAAGGTGTGTCCCTGGAGGGGAAGGCACGTTAAGTGAAATGAGTGACGTTCAAAACTACATGGGCCGGCCAAGTGGCGCGATGGTTGAGAGCTCGCTTGGGATGCCAGAGGGCCCCGGTTCGGATCCCACATATGAGGGCCAGTGACACTGCCCTCTACAGCTAAGATGCTGAACGACAGCTCAACCTGG